ATATACATACACACACACACTAGAACCATCGCGCGTGCTTCGCACGCGCTCAGGCTCTAGCAGGCCCCAGGCTTGACGAATTCGCTGCTCCGCTGAAGTAGCGGACCACGGTCCACGCATGCCAATCCGCATTCAGAAAGGCTTTCGGGGAAAATGCTTGCGTACGGCGTAGGGGGGCGGAGGCCGGATGAATCGGGTTCCCAGAAGGCCGTCTGGGAGCATGGGTTTGGGGGGCGTCCTGGGGAGCCTGTTGGGGCGTGCCGTCGACGTCGTCGTCGTAATATTATCGTCGCCTCTTGGGGCGCGCCGCCGTCGTCGTCGTCGTCGTCGTCGTCGTCGTCGTCGTCGTCGTCGTCGTCGTCGTCGTCGTCGTCGTCGTCTTCGTCGTTTCGTTTCGTCGACGTCGTCGTCGTCGTCGTCGTCGGTTTAGGAGGTCACTTGGGGCAACTTTGTGCGAAACGATCTGCGGAGGGCCGCGAGAAGGCGATCAGTCATGTTCCCAATCAACTTCCCAAACAACTCTCCTGTACCATGATGGTACTTCGAAGCCTCCGGAAACTCGCGGGCCCATGATGAACCATGTCCCCGGAAGGGTTTCTGGGGACATGGTTTGTTGGGGTGTGTTGGGGGGCCTCTTGGGCGTTCCTTAGGGGTCCCTTGGGGGCCTCCAGGAACTCTCGGGCCCATGATGAATCATGTCCCCGGAAGACTTTCTGGGGACATGATTTCTTGAGGTGTGTTGGGGGGCCTCTTGGGCATTCCCTGGGAGCCCTTTGGGGGTCTCTTGGGGCTTCCTGGGGGCCTCTTGGGAAACTCACGGGGCTTCGTGGGAGCCTCTTGGGGGCCTTCAGGGGCCTACTGGCGGCCTCTAGGGCCAGAGACCTCGAAATATCGGTTGGCGGTCCCCCTCTCCTCTTGGGGAGCTCTTGGGGCACACTTGGGTTGCCTTGGGAGCCTCCTGGGCCGTCTTGGGGCCCTCTTCGGGGCCTCGGGGGCCGTCTTGGAGCGATCTGAAGGGCCTCCGAGCGAGGCCGTGAGGGAGCGCTGGGAAGCGGGGAAAGCGAGAACGCCAAAATCCTTCAAAACCCATCGTAAGAGAAGGGGATATTGCCTCCCAGGGCCCTCTTGGGGAGCCTCTTGAGTCCGTCCTGGAGCGTGTATTGAGGGCATCTTGGGCGCCTTCGGGGCCTCTTGGGACCGTCTTGGGCCCTCTCGGGACCTCCGTTAGCCTGTCGTGACCTGCTTCGGGGCGGGCCCGGGCCGCCTCGGGATCCCTCTGGTCTTTCTCTTGGGGCGCTCTTGGGGCACACTTGGGTTGTCTCGGCAGCCTCCTGGGCCTTCTTGGGGCCCTCTTCGGGGCCTCGTAGGCCGTCTTGGAGCGATCTGAAGGACCTCCGAGGCCGTGAGGGAGCGCTGGAAAGCGGGAAAAGCGAGAACGCCAAAATCCAAAACACTCGGAAAGTGGGTGAATCTTGCCTCCCAGTGCCCTCCTGGGGAGCCTCTTGAGTCCGTCCTGGAGCGTGTAGGAGTCCTCGTCGGCTGTCTCGAGGGCAGCTTGGGCGTCTTCGGGGCCTCTTGGGACCGTCTTGGGCCCTCGGGACCCCCTTAGCCTGTCGTGGCCTGCTTCGGGGCGGGGGCCGGCCGCCTCCAGAACTCTGGACCCCCCCCACAACAGCACGGCCCCCATGACAATAAGACACTTGGTAAATGAATTCCATGTTTCATCGGTGCCCTCGTGCTCTTCACCCCATCCCCTCCTTCTTTGTTCTGGGGGTCGACGGAATGGCGCGAACCTGAAGAATCCACGTCCGGAAGTGACGTGTTGCCGGAGGCAGGTCGCGCAGCGGAGCGGAAGCCCCGGCGGGCACCGATGGGGTGAACAGGCAGCGGCCCGCCCCCCCCTGGGCCTACTCCGAGATAGAGAATCATGCTCCCGGGAAGCTTTCTGGGAGCACGATTTGTTCGGCTCTCTTAAGAGGGGGGCCTCTGGGGGCTTACAGAGGGGCCCCTTGTGGCCTTGTCGGCAAGCCTATTGGAAACATGGTTGGGGCGGTGGGCGGAAGCCCCAGGAAGCATGTTCCCGGAAAGCTGTCTGGGAAATACGATTTACCGATGTGTCTTGGGGGCCCGCAAGGGCCTTCCCTGGGGGCCCCTTGGGGGCCTATTGGGGCTTCCGGGGGGCCTCTTGGAAGCCTCACGGGGCTTCTAGGGAGCCTCTTGATGGCCTCCAGGGGCGTCCTAGGAGCCTCTCAGGCCGGAGACGTTGAAATGTCTCGCTCTTCGGGCCCTCTTGGGTCGTTCTTGGGCCTCTCTTGGGGCGCTCTCGAGGCCCTCTTGAATTATCTGGGGAGCCTCCTGGACCGTCTCTGGGTTTTCTTGGGAGCCTCTTCGGCCGTCTTGGAGCGATCTGAGGGCCTCTGACGCCGTCCGGGACCGTGGAGAGGCGGAACATGCGAGAGAGCAAATATGCTTCAAAAACCATCGAACAATTAGTGATGTTCGGCTTCTGGGGCCCTTTGGAGGGGCCTCTGGAGGTGCTCTTGGGGCGTTTTGGCGGCGTCACCGGCCGTCCTGAGGCCATCTCCTGCGTGTTCGGGGCCCCTTTGGGGCTGCACTGGCAGTGTTTAGGGCCCTCTTGGCGTGTCGTGGCGTGTTTGGGAGCGGGCCTGGGCAGTCCCAGGAGCCCTGGGACCCCCGATCCCCCCACGGGGGGGTACGGCACCGGCCCGGCCCCCCCTGGCCTACTCCGGTATATATATATATATATATATATATATATACATGTGTAGATGTATCACTGTATATGTATATGGTCGCTTGTAACCAGATCGCTCCAGTACGTGTGTATATATATACATATATATACCGGTACCGAGAGATACAGCATCAAGATAGAGAGGTATAACACAACAACAACAACAACAACAACAACAATCATTTTACCCGAACGCGTGGTGTTCTCCCCAGTGCCAGGGCTTTCATACGACACCAGGCAATACCCCCACTTCGTGGGGGGGCATTACAAGCTCTACCAAATATCCAAACGACTCTTCGCGACCACCCAAACCCAGCTTCCCGCCCTATGACGTTGGGACACTTCACTTCGTGGCGTGCGGACGACCGTGGCTACTACACTGGCGTGGGGTACACACCCACAGAACCCAATGGTTTTTGGAGATTTCGGCGTGCGCGCGCGAAGAAAAAACGAATGTGTCCCGCATGGTATTATTTGACAGGGATGATGGCCCTGGCAGGTGCGCAACCGTTGTCGCAGAAGTTCGAAAAAGTTGCTCGCAAAAGCCCGTTTGACAGAAATGTTTAAAAAGTGTTGGGTTTCCTACGAATCCGCAAGAGCGCGCGGGATGAGATTTTGACATTTTTTTGTTGAAAAACCATTGGTTTTTTGATGTTTTTATGTTAAAATCGCTCCGAACACTAAGCTTTTGGAAGGATTTCGTCTTGCGCGCGCGAATGTCCACTTTACCTTATTTTTTGCAAGGGATTCTTGAAATTTGATTATATTAGAACAAGAAATGTCATTTTATAGTGTTTTTTGCAAGGGAAAACGGATTACAACAAAACAACCGGATCTTGATCAACTCGAATTACCTGAGGCTTCCTCACGAAAATGATGAAAACGTGGCTGCGGCCTAGGCGCGGCGGGGGGGGCGCGCACCAGGGGGCCCAACAATAATTATTCTTTAGAATTAATAATGTTCAACAACAACAACAACAATTACTAGCACGTGGGGACACTCCGTTCTCACCAGTGCCAGGGTTTTCATAGGAGGCGGGCAATACCCCCACTTTGTGGGGGGGCCGGTTCAAGCTCTACCAAATTTCCAAACGACTCTTCGCCACCACCCACACCCAGCTTCCCGCCCTATGACGTTCGGACACTTCACTTCGTGGCATGCGGACGACCGTGGCTACTATTCAGGGCCCCGCGGCCGACGACGACGGCGTGCGCGCGCGAAGAAAAAACGAATGTGTCCCGCATGGTATTATTTGACAGGGATGATGGCCCTGGCAGGTGCGCAACCGTTGTCGCAGAAGTTCGAAAAAGTTGCTCGCAAAAGCCCGTTTGACAGAAATGTTTAAAAAGTGTTGGGTTTCCTACGAATCCGCAAGAGCGCGCGGGATGAGATTTTGACATTTTTTTGTTGAAAAACCATTGGTTTTTTGATGTTTTTATGTTAAAATCGCTCCGAACACTAAGCTTTTGGAAGGATTTCGTCTTGCGCGCGCGAATGTCCACTTTACCTTATTTTTTGCAAGGGATTCTTGAAATTTGATTATATTAGAACAAGAAATGTCATTTTATAGTGTTTTTTGCAAGGGAAAACGGATTACAACAAAACACCGGATCTGGATCACATCGTTTTACCTGAGGCTTCCTCACGAAAATGATGAAAATGTAGCTGCGGCCTAGGCGGCGCAGGGGGGGCGTGCACCAGGGGGCCCAACAATAATTATTCTTTAGAATTAATAATGTTCAACAACAACAACAACAGCCGCAGCAGCAGCAACAACAACAGCAACAACACAAACAACATCAACATCATCATCAACGACAACAACACACACAGCAACAACAACAACGACAGCATCAACGACAACAACAACAGCAACAACAACAGCAACAACAACAACAACAACAAGTACACCACCAACAACAACAACAACACCAACAGCAACGGCAACACTACCAACAACCCAAACAACAACACCAACAACAACAACAGCCGCAGCAACAGCAACAGCAACAAACACAACAAGCAGACCAACACCAACACCAACCCCAACCCCAACAACAACAACGAGAGAGAGAGAGAGATAGCAACCATAACAAATAACAAAACGAGCGAGAGAGCAAGAATGCAGCAGAGGCGTGACGGCTTCTCCTGCCCGAACACAAGCCTGAAATAGGGCAAACAAGGCGAGCTGAGACAACGCCAACTCAACATCGGTCCCTGGACCCCTCCCGAGGTCTGGACGCACCAGTTTCCCGAGCCGCTTCCAGCCGCAGCGACGAGGGGCCCCCTGAAGCCCCGAAGGCCGACTACCGTTGTCTCACCTGGCCCTCCTCTGATGGAGGCCTCCCTCATGGGGGTCCAACAAGACGGGGTCGGAGGATCGCGCCGTCGGCGTGGAGAACATCGGGCTCCACATCGAGCCGCTTCGCCGATACACGGCGCCATCTTCCGACCCCATCTGCTCGGACCCCATGCAGGAAGCCTGGAACTGAATTTTGGATGCCCGAAAGGAGTACGGAAAGAATGAGTACAATGCCCAACAACAAATGTTGTCCCAAACCAACAGCGGCCGCTGTTGGGCAGGCGGCCTCCTGTCTCGAATGGACACAGGCCGCGGCGGCGTGGACAGCGAGTCCTGTTCAAAATGAACCACATCCGCCGTTGGGCATTGTACCCATTCTTTCCGTGCCCATTTCGTTCGTGCAGATGCATTGCGCAGACGTGGGAGGCTCTCTCCGGCCCGAAGCGCGACCTAAAACAGGGCGGCGTTCAGGTCATCCAGCGAGACCCTGTCGTCATCCGCCCGGGGCGCCGGAGGCCGCCTCTTGGGTGCCCTCTTGGCCCTGGGCGCGGCTCTGCGGCGGCCCTTCGTCCGGTCCCGCTTGAAGAAGACGCTGCCGACGAGGCCGAGGTCGCGGTCCTCGCACCTGTCGGAGGCGGGCCGCAGGTCCCCGAGGCAGCGCTGGCCCCTCGCTGCCGCGCCTCGCCTTCCGATCGGAGCCTCCCTGGGGTCGGGAGCGGCGAAGAGGGGGGTGTCCAGGGGGGGGGGGGTGCAAAGCATGACCAGCGGCATGACATAAGAAGAGGCGCCATGAAATCTGGGGAGATATCATGGCCCCCTCCATGACATCTACCCCCCACTCGTCATCACCCCCCTCTTTACCGCCCCCGATGGCTCCTCGTCGCCACGGCCGGGCTCGCCTCGAGGAGCAGAGAGGTCCCCGGGGGAGGGGCCCGGGAGAGCCGATAGCTCGAGGGGCTCTCTCGGCCAGGGCGCGAGGGCCGCCGCGCTGTCTCGACGGGCCCTCCCCTCCGAGCCTGTCGGCCGTGGACTCCTCGAAGAACTCCGTGGCGGTCGGCGGCAGGACCTCGTAGCTCTCCCGCACGACGACGGCCGGGCGTCGCCGGGGGGGCGGGAGGTCATCGCACGGGGCGCGGTCGGGGCCCCCTCGGCTCAGCGAGAGCGGTCATCCTAAGCAGAGCGTAGAGCCACCCCGGAGCCCCTCTCTGCAGCTCCCCCAACCCAGCGACCTGGCGTGCAACCATCCCTCGCCGAGGCGCGGCCCCGGCCCAAGGTGCCCCTGGCTTGCCGCGCCGCTTCGGACCCCCTGGGGTCCTATGGGACTCGTGGGGGGTGTTCTGGATGCCACCCGCGCCTCTCTGGAATAGCTCTAGGGCCTTCTGAAACGCTGTCTTAGTCTTCCACCGAAGACACAGGAAACTTCTCAGAAGGCGCGAGAGCTTCTGAGAAGTCCCGCCACCTTCTGAGAAGGCCTTCTCCTTCTCACCTCCCCCCCCCGCTCGCCGCCGACTTTGTCCAAGTGGATCAGGTTGGGTGCAAAGTGCCCGTGTCCAGGGCTCTTTTCGATTTCTCTGACTCGGCTCGGTTCGATTTCGAGGGCTCCTGGTTCTGGTTCGATTCGACTTGGGATTCTCCGATCTGAATCCCGATTTCTCAACGGAGGCTTGCTATGGCCTGCCGATCCACGCCAATGCGACTTCTCCTTCGACTCGGCTGCCGCCTTCCGCCGACCCGATTCATTCCGATCGTCGAGTGTGGCCACGGCTCGCATCTCGGCACGCCCAAAGACGGGCAGGGACAACGTTGGCCAACAGCAGATGCTGTCCAACACGGACTGCGGGCCCCCGTCCGGCACGCGATTGCTCGCCTCCGGTGGTCGACGCTCGCAGCAACACCGACAGCGCATACCGTCCAATACGGGCTGGGAGCACCAGGGGGTCTGGGACGGTCGCGCATCTCATGTTTGGTCACCAGCCGAGGGCCTCACAGGAGCAACACTGCCGTGGAGGCCAACGCGTTGCGATGGGGAACGCGCCGCCGAAGCAGCTCCTCACCTCGCAACAAGCTGGTTGCCGAAGCAAGCGCGTCGCCAAAGTGAATGAGACGTCTGCCGCCTGCCTTCGAACTGCTTCGGCCAGAATGCCAGGGCTCCCTTTAGTGCGGCAAACATGCAGACCCCTCCAGGGCTTGCAGAGAACGGACAGCAACGGCTGCCAGTCTTCGCCACAATTCTGACCGTGCCCATGTCGACCCTCCAGAGCTTCGAGATCCGATGCCGCGAAGAGATTGCAACATCGCGAGCACCCACAACAAGAGCTGGGGAACCGCTATTCCACGGACCTCTCCTGGGGTGCGTCCTGGCCAGGAGGTTTCGAGGCGCATCCAGTGATGGCGACGAGGGCCTCTCAGGACGCCCGAAGAGGCGAAAACGCCGTGAGGGTAGCGTATCGGTACCTGTTCCTTGGGCCTCCACCGTCCCCCTGAGGTCCTCCCTGAGATCCGACGTCGGGGGGGAAAGCGCAACATCGCAAGAAATCACGACCGGAGCCCTGGACCACATCTGTCGGCAGCACCACTCGAGCCGGATCGCTCTGTGATGGCCCCGGGCCCCGAGACCCGGCGCGAGCGCAGCGCTGGGCTCTCGGGGGGGTCACCCGCCTCGAACTGAGACTGACAAGCCGAAAGGCGATGCCTACCTCGGGGAGGACGGACGGGTAGGACAGCCAAGGGTAGGGCAAGTAATCAGCTCACGTAGCTGGTTTTTCTGGCGCCTCCTGGCGCCGGGGGACACCCACGTATCGAGGAATGAGCCTGGCAGCGGGGCCCGAAACCAGCTGCACGCAGCAGATTGTTCGTACCCCCCCTTTGCCCTATCCTGCCCTTCGTTCGCCCTCCTATCCCTATGCCGTGCATCTAGGGGCAGGGGTAGGCGTATGTCCCAGGCTGGTACAAGGGGGGGGGGTCACCTCTGGCAACGCCCGGGATGAAGGGACTCTGCGGCCGGAGCACGCGGGCGGTCTCCACGAACACGCGCAGGTGGCCCTTCGCGCCCATCGACACCGCCCGGTCCCCCGCCTGCAGCAGCGCGACGTCGACGGAGTCGGCTGGCACCGCGGCCCACTGCTTCTCACACCGATCCATTGCGGCCGGTGTCGGGCCCTGGGGCCATCACAGGCCGATCTGGCTCGAGAGATGCCGCAGAAAGACCAAACCCCGGTCTCCAGAAGTGGTTTTTCGCGATGTTGCATCTCTAGGGCGACGAGATCTGTACATATCCACTGCTCCCTGGCCAGGCCTATCCTGAACCCGCCAGCGGTGTATACGCCACGCGCTCCTGGCTTGGCCAGGAGGGCGGATACACAGCTGCTGGTTTCAGGATGGGCCTGGCCAGGGAGCAGTGGATATGTATAGATCTCGTCGCCCAAATCTCTGTGCTGCAACGTCGGATCTCCGGGTGCCTCCTGGAGCTTGAACGCAGATTCAGGACCGCAGCGGCGGTTCCTGGCCCCTGCGAGCCTCGGCCACTGAGAGAACGGGCCGAGAAGCATGGCCCCTCCCGCACACAGAAGCTGGTCCTCCTGTCAGCGTCTTGACTGCAAGTCTGGCTGCGGCCCGCCCCCCAAAAGAAGGAAGGCAACAGGACGGCCCATTGCTGAGGTAGGGAGGCGCCTCAAGTTGAAATCAGGCGATCCACGAGTGTGAAAGGGAATACGTCGACCCCTATGCCAGGCTTTGTGGTGGGGGTTTTGGAATGGACCAGAAGTTGTGGGCCCAGCCCTAGGATATACGATGGGGGGGCGTCCATCCTCGATAGGGGGGCGTCCGAATAGCCCCCTTGGGATGTCCCAGGGATCTCCCTTTTTCTGGGCGGCCAAACTTTTCGAGCAGAACTCGAGGCGGGGGAGAAACATTGCCTGCGACAATCCGCCGCCTTCAGCGAGCGGCCCGTGAGGGGCGTGGGCCAAGCGACCATCCGAGCAGACCCTCCACGGGCTCCCAAACCGTCAACCTCGGTCGCTTCTGAGCCCTCGTGGGTGTCTGCGGCACCTCTAGAGTTGTGTCTCCCCTGTCCTCTACAGGGAAGAAATTCAGAATACCCAACAAATATATACGTATGTTAGTTTTTGAATGCCCGCGCGATGCTGTTGAAATACTCTTGCGATAGTGCTTCAATACTTAAGGGTTATGTAGGGGACAGGGGAGACACAGCTCTAAAGGGACGAGGGTCTCTTCGGTCGTCCGTTCGGCCCCTGCCCTCTGGGGGGGTGAAGGTGGGCCGCGGCGTGGCTGGCAGGTCGAGCAGCCGCTCGCCCAGGTCGGGGTCGCACTCGAACCACTCGATCTCTACCTCCTCTGGGCGTCCTCTTCCTCCCTCCTCCTCCTCCCCCCTCCTCCTCCTCCTCTCCTCCTCCTCCCCTCCTCCTCCTCCTCCTCCTCCTCCTTCCCTCCTCCTCCTCCTCCTCCTCCTCCTCCTCCTCCTCCTCCTCCTGGTGCTGTGACAGACTGCGCGGCGGCCCTGGAATCACGAACGACTCCACCGCATGGCCCGTCGCCGCATAGATTCTGGGACCTCCGAGGCCCCCGCCACCCGAGGCGTCCGCAGAGACCCTGAAGCCCGACTGCTGTGCGGTGACCCCGAAACCCAACCGGGACACCACATGGTATGGTCACCGCTCCATTTGGGAGGGAGGGAGGGAGGGAGGGAGGGAGGGATCGAGGGAGGGAGGGAGGGAGGGAGGGAGGGAGGGAGGAAGAGGAGGAGGAGGAGGAGGAGGAGGAGGGGGAGAGGGAGGAGGAGCTCCCTCTTCGAGCTCCCGCCCCCGATTCCTTCTTCTTGAAAGCGCTGGCTGCCGCTCTCGCCGCCGCGGTAGCCTGCGGGATGCTGACCAGGTAGCGCTCCAGCGTGTGGGTGCTCAAGCTGCCGAAGTGCTCCGTGGCCATGCCGTCGGGCGGCCACCAGTCCAGCGCCGTGAAAGCCTTGGGCCCGTAGTTCCTCACCACCTTTCCAGACATGAGCGATCGCGTCAGTCGGCGGCGAGCGCGAGGGGGAAGTGAGAAGGGGCGGGCCTTCTCAGAAGGCTCGGGCTGATGCCCAAGCCCTGGACGGCTGTACCCACTCCACCCGAGGTAGCTGACTTCCGTAGGCTGGGTGGTGAGCTCGGCGAGGCGGTTGTCAACGGGTTCGTGTTTGGAGGCGGGGATGCCAGTGGAGGGACGGACACGCAGGATCCAGTGTTGCGCAGAGTAGCCTCGTCGTGGGTTGTCACGAGACGCCTGGATAGTGAGGAATGCTAAACAGTCGAAGGGCTTAGCACCCATTCTGCAAGCTTCGGGAATGTCCCTGGCGAGAGGCAGTCGGTAAGTAGGGGAGAGACCCTGTGCCTGCTAGAGTTCGCACGTGCGGTCTTTCCTGTTGCCTCTGCTTATTTTGTGACAGATTCATCGTATGATGTCAATAATCTGGCCAAGCTCAGGGCTGGCATCAATCCTGACTCACACCTCGACGTTTAACACCAGTTGCGCGATCTGTTACGGCAGCGCACAGAGAGGGGGCTGGTTTTAGTGAAAGTCGAGAGCCACCGCGATGAACAGAGTGTCTCAGCTGCTGGGGCAGACCAGCTCCATGTCTTGATCAACGAAGTTGCAGACAGCATCACCAGCTCGTGGGCGGACCATCTTCGAGTGCCAGAGCGCGAGAGGGACAGTCGTTCCTTCGCACAAGTAATAGCGTACCAAAACCGCAACCATCTAGGCCAGTCTCCGCTTGCCAATATAGAAGCGGATGGGGATAGGGTTCCGCGAGAGAAAGATTTGAGGAAGCAGCTGCGAGAGTATAAGCCGCAGCTAGATCTAACGGCCCACACGCCAGAGGACGGACTGCGCTCCAGAATCCAATGTAAAGTCTGTGGAGGCTTGGTCCCGCGTTCTCTGGCGAACCAGTTTCTGAAGACACTCTGCCACCCTGGGCTTTTCAATGGGGTTGTCATGATTCCGAGAGCGCCCCTTGTCAATGGGCACAAGTTGCATGAGTCCAACCAGCTTGGCGTTTGCAAAGAGTGGGGCGCCACTGTTTGTTTTGGTTGCGGTTTCATCTCGGCGCTCGCCGTTAGGAACCTGAAGCTTAAGTGCCGTGGCCCGCTGAGTGACTACGGCAAGCGAATGCTTAAGAAGGTTGCCACGGGGCAACCTCCAGGCCGCAGTCAGTGGGCCAGACAGCAGGTAGCGACGAAGCTACTCAAGTGATGTACACACATGGCTTAGCCAAGAGAGAACAAAGTCCCTGGGACTTATGCCAATTTCTAAGCCATCCCCGAAGACACAGACAACCTCTCAGAATGCCAGAAGCCTTCCGAGAAGCCCCGCAGCCTTCTGAGAAGAGCTTCTCCTTCTGACTTCCTCCCCCCTCGCTCGTCGGAGAGTCGCAACAACGTCACAACGGGAATCTCTTGGCCGTGTTCGGCCTCCCGGGGGCCTCCTCAAAAAGGCGGCTCGGGATGAAACGCCGGCCCTGGGGAGATGGTCGGAACTCTCGGGGACTCCGTATGGAACATATCAAGAGGTCGCACGTCTGGCTCAGTAGGGCGCCGACTATACTTAGGTCGGGCGTGTCCTCCTACAGGCGGCTTTTTGGGCGAAACATAAAAAAGAGTCAACAATGTTTCAAACATAGCCAAAATTAGTCAAACAATCGGCCCAAGACTATCTCCTGACTATTCTTGAATTTTTCCCTCTGTAGAGGGACAGGCCCGACTTGCGACTATATACACACAGACCCATCCTGGCCAGGCCCCCCCTGGGCCCAGGATCGGGACTGGCCAGGATCGGCGCATGTGCACAGCTTTAGGTCGGACATGTCCTTCTACATGCGGATTTTGGACGAAAAATAGCCAAACATAATCAAACCATGTTCAGAAATACTAGAAACATCGTTCCCAGACTATTTGCTGACTGTTCTTGAATATTCCTCCTGTAGCGGGACACGCCCGACTGAAACACAGCTGTTGCCTCCGACGGTGCGCCTTGGTGATGATCTCCTGGAGGAAGGTGTCCTTCCTCATGTCGTTGACTATGCTGAAGCTCGGCGGCGAGCCAAGGGGGGAAACGAGGAGGAGACGGCCTTCCCAGAAGGCGGCGGGGCTTCTCAGAAGCCCTCGCGCCTTCTGATAGGTTTTCCGTGTCTTCGGGGACGGCGGAGAGCATTTTGCGGGCGGCCCGCGGACGTCCGAGCCTTCCGAGAAGGCCCGCCCCTTCTCGCTTCCCTCCCGCGCTCGCCGCCGAGAAGAGCATGTGCCCGTTCGCGACCCCCAGACCGCAGCGCCCGCGCCCGCGCCCGCCCCCGCCCGCACGCGCCGCGCCGTCGGAGGGCATCTGCCGTGGCGCGCGGGGGCTTCTGCCGGGTGCTGCCAGGGGTGGCCTCCTGGCCCAGGGAGGGGGCCCCGCGTCTCCCTGGGGAAGCCCATGGGACGCACAGAGACATACTAATACTATATGTCCTCCTTGGAGGCGCGCGTCCGACCCAAGCATATAGTATACCCATCTTGAAGTCTATCGTTTCCCGAGCGGTGTGGCCAGAAAGCGCACGCCGCGACGCATATACTATAAGATTTCTCCGTGCGCGCGTCGCCCCTGGGGGGGCGACGCACATACAGTATAAGTATGTTGGGGTGATGCCGAGCCCAGGGGAACGCCGCCAAGAAGCGGGCCCTGCGCAAGAGGGCATGCGGCGACCTTGCGCCGCGGCTCACGCGGGCCGCCCGCGAGCGTGGAGAAGAGGGCGCGCACGCGCGACCTTACGCAAGAGGCTCACCCATCGGTCGGAAGGAGCGAGTAGAACCATGAAGTAGGAAGGCGTTGAAAGCAGATCGGGTTTCAGCGCACCCCCGAAAGAGTAAGGAGAAGCTGGAACCACTCGACCATCGAAGAAGGCGCCTGAAGCAGATTGAGACTGGGCCATCAAAAAATACCTACAGCCGAACATCTGATCCAGAACATCATGGTTTAAGAAACCGAGGCCAGCTTCCCGCACGTCTCTTCAAACAGACCTGGACCAACTTCTGTTGTTAACGCAGGAGGGGCGAACGTGCTCAAGAGCCTGGGCCAGCTTTGCGGCAGGTCGGTGAAGAAACGCTGGTCCAGCTTTTCGCGGTGAGATTTCTAAATCAGACTGGGGAAGCTAAAAGGCACCGATACCGCTACTCCCTGGACCACTCCTGAGTGCGTTCTGACCAGAATTTCGATGCGAATCCAGCGGTGGCGACGAGGGCCGCCCTGGAGGCCCAACAAGGGGGAAACGAGGCACGGATAGAGGTATGGGTACCTTTTCCTCCCCCGACAGACGCTCGACGGTACCTTCAACGACCGGCGTCTGCGCGCGACTGTCCGCACAGTCCGCTCCGTTCTCTTCCGTCGCTCCAGTGGCCCCTCCAGCCTTGCCCGGGAGGCCCAGGTGGCCTCGAGGCCCTCGAGGTCCTCGAGGCCACCTGGGCCTCCCGAGGGGTGCCCTCGAGGCCACCTGGCCCTCCTCGAGGCCCTCGAGGCCACCTGGACCTCGCGAGGGGTGCCCTCGAGTCGACGGCACCCCTCGCGAGGCCCCGAGGAGGGCCCCTCGGCGCTCCACAACGTTGCGGAGAGACCGAAGCCTCTCAGAAGTGGGTCCTGGCACCTGGGGCCGGAGGATCGCGCCGGCGCGTCGGCGTCGTCGGCGCGGCGAGAAGGTCGGGCTCAACATCCAGCCGCATCGGCGATGCATCGGCGAGGCGGCGCGGTCCTCCGACGCCACCTGCTCGGACCCCGTCTGGAAGGCCTGAAGAGCCGATGGGGCACCTGGGCCAGCACTGCCTCTGGCAGCCTCCGGTTCCGGCCACGAGCGCGGCCTGGGCCGGCCGCTCTCCGGGGACGCGCAGCGGCGCGCAGGAAGGCGCGGGGCGAAGGCCATCAACGACGGCAGGGGCCTTCTGGAAGTGGGAACCGCGAGTATCTGCACGAAGGTCTGTGGGTCCTGGTCCATGGGGCTTCGTAGAAGCGCCACAGGACAACATGTAGCGTATGCTTTTCCGGCCAGATCTCCTGTCGACAGGTGTGAACACACACACACACACATATATATATATATATATATATGTGTATACACACACTAGGTTTAGGCCGCCATTTGCCACTGAGTGGTGGGCAAACCAAACACAGTTACAGGGTCTCCCAGATGGGGTCGGAGTAGATGGGGCATCGCCGATACATCGGCGGTATCGGCGACGTATTGGTAATGCACTGGCGATGCATCGTCGACGCCAGCGATGCATCGGCGACGTCGACGTGAAGGCAATCGGGCCCCACATCGAACCGCATCGGCGATGCATCGGCAATGCGGCACGATCCTCCGACCCCATCTACTCGGACCCCATCTAGGAAGCCTGGAACAATATACTGGACATGTTCCTGGCCCCGGTAGAAGTAGGCAGCCACGTGCGAGACCTCCCCCTGCATGTCCATTTTCTGACAAACGCTGGCGTCGTTCAAAAGTCGAAGGATGTCTGCAGCTAGGTTAACTCCGAGGAGGAAGAGGAGGAGGAGGAGGAGGAGGAGGAGGAGGAGGAGGAGGAGGAGCAGGATGAGGAGGAGGAGGAGGAGGAGGGAGAGGAGGAGGAGGAGGAGGAGGAGGAGGAGGAGGAGGGAGGGAGGAGGAGGAGGAGGAGGAGGAGGAGAGGAGGAGGAAGGGAGGAGGAGGGAGGAGGAGGAGGAGGAGGGAAGGGAGGAGGAGGAGGAGGAGGAGGAGGAGGGGAGGAGGAGGAGGAGGAGGAGGAGGAGGAGGAGGAGGAGGAGGAGGAGGAGGAGGAGGAGGAGGAGGAGGAGGAGGAGGAGGAGGAGGAGGAGGAGGGAGGAGGGGAAGGAGGAGGAGGAGGAGGAGGAGGAGGAGGAGGAGGACCCGTAGCCATTTTGGCTCAAGTCTCACGGAGCTAACCTCCCGTGGGTCCCGACTCCAGAGGCTCGAGGTCGCGGTGGAAGGGCAGCCCCTTCCATAGGCCTGGCTGCCGCGGCCCAGGTACCGAGCGCTCGGGGGAGCGCGCCTCTCGACCCTCTGCAGTCGTTTTCAGCCCCAGTTGCCCGCGGCACATGTCCCATGGGCGCCCTGGCGATCGGTGGAAGTGCAGCCTCTGTGGATGCGGGCAGAACCTCCTACATTGGACCTGGTGCAAGCACTGCCGCAAAGGACGCACTGAAAAACCAGCGCCAGCTCCGTGGACTAGTGACGCAGGAGCTGGGCGCGGCACCAACAGGTGGACTCGCTCGGCCAGCCGCGGGCGGGGCGCAAGCACCGCAGCGGCGCAGGTCTCGGCAGCCGATCTCCAGAAGTTGGTGGACGTGGCCACCCAGATGGGCGACACAGCCACAGCCAACAGATACGCAGCGGAGCTGGCCAAGGCGAGCGTGGTCCGCCCCGTCCACCAGCGTGCCGCCGCCGCCCAGCGCAAGGCCTCGGCGACTGAGAAGAAGCTCACAAACGCCACAGACCTCCTGGCCAAGCTGCAGCAGCAGACTACTGATCAAGCTGAGCTCGTTCGCAAGCTGGTGGGTGACCCCGAGGCCGCGGAGCTTGAGTACAAGACAGTCTTGGAGGAAGAATACCACACCAAGCTCGGCCCCAAGGAAGCCAACCCATCCAAGCTCGACTTGCAGTCCCTGCCCGAAGGCAAGCTCAGCGCCGACGACCTCATTGACTGCGGGGACATGTTCGACCTTGGAGAAGAGTGCGAGCTGGGCACCGAGGACGAGGCCGAGATCGCGAAGCGCAAGGAGGAGCTCAAGACCGCCATGCAGGCCGCTGCTGCTGAGCTCTTCAAATCGGCCAAAGAGAAGTGCGATGCCACCCGCAGAGCCCGCGAGGAGCAGAAGAGGCGCCTCAAGACCAAGCGGCCTAGGGCGGAGTCTGCTCATCCTCCTGGGGACAACGGCGGCGGCGCTACAACGGAGCCTGCCGCTGCCGGCGCCGCTAGCGCTGGAGGCGCAGCACCTGGCAGCGCAGCCCCAGGCAGTGAGGTGGGCGCCTCACAGCAGCCCGCCCAGACAGCCAAGGAGCGCGCTGCTGCAGTGCTGGCGGGCAAGGGTGCCAGCAAAGGGGGCGCCAGCCAGACGCGGGGGTAGCCCAGGGCCGCAGGGCGCGGCTCGGGTGCGCTTCGCGGAGCGCCCCGCGTACCACTATTCCCAAGCTGATGCCAATGATGTGCAGTGTCCAGGGGATCGACACTACCGATCACATGATCAGCCACCAGAACCAGAAGACCAGCTACATTCAGTGGGGAATGAAGCACTACAATTACGACAACCAACAGCAGCTCATCGGCGGCGACGATGGGGAGCAGCTGCCTGTACCTCTCTCCAGATGGCCAGGGATGTGCATTCCTCTGGGCTGGAGACACGAGCGACGCATATGACGACAACAGGTGGGCTTTCCTTGTCGACTGCATCCACGGCAACCCCGTCTCCCTCAGTAGCTTTGTCGACTGGGTCATCGGCAGAGTCATCACAGGAGTGGGCCCTCTCTCCCTCGGTGGCCCCATCGTCTACTTCGTCCAAAGGATGCCCCGCTTCGGCGGGGGCCCACGCCGACCTGCCTGAGTCAGCCACGTTCGCCAGATCCTCGTCGGCAGGGGACTTTAATGCTCTGGGCTTCGGCCTTGCACATTCGAGGCTGGCCGAGAGTGATGGCTCAGGCAGGGGCGGCACAAGTACCCCTTCTTCTACGGCAGCCGATAACACCCAGCGCGGGCGAGTGGACACGGAGGACGATAAGCAGAAGGGCACTGGGCCGAACACGGACAACAGCAGCCATAGAAGGACCAGTATGGACGGGGACTGGGGCCCCTTCGACCAGCTGGACTGGGACGCAGACGCCTTCGCGACAGCTGGCCACGATGGCGACCCAGAACCCGACACCGTACACATCGCCACGGATGAGGCAGAGGGGCAGCAGCCTGCCGCTCCTCCTCCTGGCGCAGGCTGTCCGTCTGAGGCCCTGGAGGTGAAGCCCTACGCTCAGGCACCCCAGGAGCATGTGAAAACCAGTCGTGACAAGATGAAGCGGTATCACAAACACGACCTTCAAGCAGTGCGTTTCTACTTCGCCAACTACACCAAGTGGAACCAGACTGGGCTCGACTACGTGAATAAGATTCGCGATGACGAAGGGTGCCATGTCCAGCTTGGTGCAGAGACTCACCTACGAGGGCCACCGTTGCATGCAGCGATCAAGAAGCTCAGCAAGGCGCACTGGAAGGTGGAGGCCAGGCCCGCCAACGAGACCCAGGTGCAAGCGGAGCTCGGCCGCGGAGGTGCATGGGTCGCCGTCGGCGCACACCTGAGCTCCAGGGCCATCCGACTGCGACGAGCGGAGTGGTCTCAGCCAGCTGCTGGGCAAGGCATGTGGGCCGCGCGTGAGGTCCGCCTGCGT